TCAATTTCATTGTAACTTATAATATTTATTAAAATATTTAGTTAATTATTAAAAAGTTGGAAGTAAAGAAATTTATTAAAAACATGAAAATTTAAATTTTTAAAAACATTTTTAGAATAAAGTGAAAAATTGAATGAGAAAAATAGGCGATAAAGTATAAATAAATTAAAAATAAAACAACCAAATATAGTATTAATATTTTAAATATTTTGCTATGAATTATCTATGAACTGATTGTTATGATAACATAAAATTTAAATAAAGAATATTAAATATTTTACTTAAGGATGAGAGACAAATTTGAAAGTTGATTACATTTAGCTAAACCTTAGCTTAAATTTGATGCTCCCTGTGAGCTAATTTCGTTATTACTTTTAAGTTTCAATAAATTATTGTGAGTTAAATAATAATAGAAAAGTTTTAAGAAAATCAAACAGGATAAAAAAAGTTAACTAGTCATATTTATATTGGAAAAAGATAAATGACTAAAGAAAATAAGTATCTATGCAAATATTTTGAATGTTTTCTTACTATCAAATTCCTTTAAAATTTTATAGGTTTTCAAAATTAAATAAAAGAATAACTACAAAATGTTCTTTAAATAAGTAATATTTTTACGAGAGATCAAGTATTAACGTTTTGAGATTAGTATCATGAGTAAAACCAGAAAACAAACTCAAAGCACCCTATGGACCAATTTTATTTTTACTTTGAAAATATAGAAAAAATATTAGTGAATATGAAAAACTTAATAAGAAGAAATTATATTGAAAATTTGCATAAAACTGATACTATCTAAAATAAACTTTAATGAACAAAATTGATTAAGAATTAACTGAAAAATAAGTATTAAAAATTTTTTTTTAGAAAGAAATTACAAATAATGATTTCATTATTTAATATGTTTCATAAACAAATTTCATTAATTAATTATTTGTTAGTATTTCAAGCTAAAAAAAAGCTCTAACTGCTGATTAATAAGTAAACTGTTTTACCTAAGATTGAGAGTAAAGTATGAAATATTACTACACTTAGCTATACATAAACCCAAACTTGATGCTCCCTTATAGCTAATTTAATTTTCTCTTTTATTATTTTTAAATGTTATGTGAGTTTATGTTCAAATAATTGAGAAAATTAAATATAAAGTTGATAAAATAAATTAGTGACTGCAAATAGGTTATCAAAAATAATTATTATATAAACAAAAAAAACATAAACATAAAGAAACAACTAGAATTTTTATTACTTTTCTATTTATTTTATATAATAATTTTTAATCTTCAAAATTAATAAAATGTTGTTAAAAAAAATAAATAAAAAAGCGATTATTAATTACTAGAGTTCAAGTATTAAAATTGAAATTTGAGTGCATTGAGATAACCCAGTACATATACTTGATATGCTCAAGTCATCAATAGAAGTTGAACTATTTATATTTAGAATAAATTTGAGAAGAATAAAAATTAAGCAAATGAACGTAAATAAGGAATTAAACAAAATTAAAATACAAAAAAAACAACCAATTAATTAACTTATTAAATAATTATTTTACAACTTATCTTAAGAACAAATAAATTTCTTAATAATTTAATAATTTAATCATATTAAATAAATGGCAGAAATGCTAAAAAATTAAAATAAGCTATTTTTACCTTAGGTTAATTCTTAAATTTGAGAGATTGATATATTTAGTTAAAATAGAACCTAAGTTTTATGAACCCTATGTCCCAATTTTATTGCTACTATTAACATTCATAAAACTTATCAAAATTAATGTGAAAAATTTGAATAAAAAATAAAGACTGATAGCTAGCTAGCTAACTAACTAAATAAATGCATATTCAAAGTTTAATAAATAAATATTTTTTGATTTAGATAAAAGTAAATAAACAAAAATTTTAAGAATATTATTAAAAATAATTAATAATTTGTTGATTTTGCATATTTTCTTAGTATTTAATTAATCTTAGAAATCAAAAAATAAAATTTTTTATAAAAGGGTATTAAGCGCTCTTACTTAAGGTGGACTGTCAAATTTGAGAGATTACTGCACTTAGATAAACCAGGATACATACCTTATAAGCCAAATCCAACAATTTAATTGGAACTTTTAATACAAAGAAAATATGCGATTTAATATAAAAAAGCATAGGGAAATATATTAAAAAGAGAGTTAAAAATAAAAATAAGAATAATGAATAAATAAATAAATAAAATTAATAATAAATATAACAAACAAAATATACATTCATACATATATTAAATGATTAAGATTAATTAAATATTAACAAAAATAATTAAATTATTTTTACTTGAGATTGAGTGTCAAATTTGTGAGATTATTCCACTTAGCTAAATAAGAAAGCAAACTCTATGCACCCTTTGAACCAATTTTATTGTCACTATTAATTTTTAGAATTTTATTTGCCAATTAATAAAAAATTATGAGATATTTTAAAATAAAAACAATGAAAAGTAATGACTTTTGAATTAAATTTAAATAAAATAATATAATAAACTTTGCACTCATTTTCACTCATCAGTTGTCAGTTGGTAAATTATTTATTATTATTAATTTCCAAAAAAAAGTAAAACTTATTGAATACAAAATCTAAAAAATTTAAAAGTAGTACTTACTGCTGAATAAAAAATCGAATAAATTATTTTTACTAGAGATTGAGGTTTAAAGTTGAGAGATTAGAGCACGAAAATAAACTAGAACTCAAGCTTAAAGCACCCTATGGACCAATTAAATTAGAACTTTTAAATTTAGAAATAATATATAATTTTAATATCAAAAAAAATACTTAAGTTATTTAAAAAAAAACTGATAACTAAATAATTCAAAACGGAATTTAAAGTTGATATAATAAATAAATAATTTTTGAGCAAATAAATGAATTAAAAAATAAGCACAAATACATGATTAAGCATTAATAAAAAAATTTTCATTAACACTTAAAATCTTTTCAAATTATAAATATGATCCAATATATCTTTAAAACATATGAAATATTTTACCTAAGATTAAGAGACAAATTTTAGAGATTAGTACACTTAGCTAACCCTGAACCGAGGAACGATGCACCCTATTCCCCAATATAATTAAACCTATTAAGGTTTACAAATTTATTCGATTAAAATATAAAAATGGAATTATATTAAAAATTTGTAACTAAAATGGAAATTTAAAGTGAAAAAAAAAATATTAATTTTGAAAAGAAACAGAAAGCTAATTTAAAATAAATAATCAAAATTGATAGAAAATTAAAATAAAACGATTTATTTTCATGTCTGTCTTGTAAATTTTTTAAGTTATAAAATAATTGATTTGATTTTGAAATATAAAATATATCGCTAATCTTTAACAATAATAGATAAAAAAACTATTTTTACTATAGATTCAATGACAAATCAGAGAGTTTACTACATTTAGCTAAGCTAGAACATAAAGCAGAAGTACCTTATGCTCCTATTGAATTTGAACTATTAAATATTAAATAAAATGTGAGTTTTTATCACAAATTAAAAAAATCCTTAAAAAAAAGAAAGAAAAAGTTGAAGTTAAAATTATTCAAATTTAATATTGATAAAATAGTTAAAGGATTAAATGAATTGTATTTAGTTATTAATCAAACGTAATATACAACCAAAATCATAGTGGTTTATCACAATTAAATATATTTATTATTTCTAGACAGCTTTTATCAAATTAAAAGTAGCAAAAAATATTAATTAAAGCAGTTAGATAAAACAAATTTACTTTAGACTAAGCGTAAAATTTTAGAGATTACTGCATTTAGCTAAACTAGAACCCAAGCTTGATGCGCCCTATGCACCAATTAAGTTTTTACTTATTATATTTATAAGAATATGCGAGTTTATATTAATGAAAATTGGAAAGAAAATAAAATTGGAAAATAATTATCCAAATAAGTAAATAAAATTATAATTTAGAATATCTAATTAAAAAAATTTGTAAATAAGTTGATATAAATCAAATTTTAAGAAATGAGTAATATTATTTTTTATTACATACTTTCTTACTGTTAATTTAATTAATTAATTAATAGCTTATTTATTTGATTTCATAAAATAAAAATGTTAAAAAAATAAATAGTTTGCTTTTTTATATTTACTCAAGATTGATTATCAAACTTTAGAGATTAATGCATTCAGCTATTCCAATTATAAGCTATTTTCAGAAAATTATTTCTCGAGTTAGAAATATAGACAGACTTAGTAGAATAATAAATATTATTTAATATAATATAAAAAAAATTAAAATAAATAAAAAAAAGGTTTTGAAACAGGTTTGTTTCGAACCTGATAGAAGAAAAAAATAAAAAATGTTTAATCAAAATTTACCTCTTAATTTTTATTTTTAATGAATCAAAAAAAAGCTAAGCTCCCTTTTTTATTTTCTTGATTAATTAATAGAACAAACAATCCCAGAATATATTTTAATAAATTAAATATTTTTATATTTTTATTTATTATTCATTATGCGCTAAATGGCTGGGCTTGTAAAAAATGTGCCAGATATAAGTATATCTAAAATTTAAATCAATTAAAAATAATCATCAATTTTAATAACTTTTTGGACACGCATCTATTATTTATCTATTTATCTATTTATCTATCTATCTCTCTATTTATTCTACTTATCTCTTTATATATCTATCTATCAATTTTATCCAAATAAAATATACATTTGAAGTAGAATTTAAGGCATTTAAAAAAATAATTATTTTATTTTTTATTATATTCTAATTAAAAATAAATATTTTGTTTGAGTATTTATTTTAGCCAAATAAAATAAATAGACAATGATTATAAGCAATTTTGATTTGATTAAAAATAATAAATGTTTTTGTTAAATGATAACACCATTTATATATTGTTAAGTCTATGAATAATAAAGTGATTGCTGGTTTTTCTAATATTTATATTTAATTCTAATCTTGATTTTAAACATTTTTGAAATGATTTTGTTTAGTCTTATTATTTTGTTTTACATAATGAAAAGAAAGTAAAAAATAATTCATATTAAAATGAGAATTATAATTTTGAGTCATTTTAGTGGATATATTTTTCTTTTTCGCTGTTTGTTATCAATGTATTTCTATTTGAAAATAAATATTATAAAAAATTATTATAATTTTTTTGAAATAAAATAAAATATTATTCAGATAGAAAATTTAATGAAAAAAAATGACAATTTAAAAAATTAATTTTATTAAATTTAATCTAAATAATATTTTTCAAGAAATTGATTTATTATAATAAGTATTTTGGAAGTGGTTTTATGTTTTATGCCTTTGAATACTTTAAACAAATCAGAAAGACTTAATATATTTTAAATTTTCTTATTTAAATAATTTTAAAAGAAATTAAAGCTGATTTAGATTAATTTTTGACTTTTACTTTAAAACTAAAATAATTTCAAAATAGAAAAATGCTATTCTATTTTTAAATAATTTCACATTTTTATTTCATAAATACATTCATTTATTTAAAAAAAGAGTTGTATTGTTTGATTTCTAAAACTGCTTTAAACACTTTTTAAATAGAAAATAATCATTTTATTTTTAGTCTTGATGCTAAAGAAAATCAAAAAAAACTTATTAATAAACTAATTTATGAACCAACTTACTAAATAACTTAGTAAAAATTTAAATAAATTCATAAGCATTTATGTATGTATGTATCAATAAATAGATATTATGGCTTCCTTTTTTATTGATAAGTTTTTCGAAAAATACCAATCTAAAATTGTCTTAAATAAAGAAAAAGAGAAGTAGTTAATATATTTGATGCGTATTAAATTCAATTGTTCATAATGTTTATGCGTAAAAATAAAAATAAAATCTAACAATTTTAATTCTCCTCTAAAAAATATGAATGAAAATAGTAACTAAAAGATATAAATTACTTAATTAATTTAGTAAATAACAAGTATTAAGAAAGTCATACAATATAATAAATATATCTTATATCCCTTTATATATATTTGTAAGAAAAAATAAATTAGAATATACTTGTTTTTTATCTCAGTATTAATATCTATTAAAATAATATAAACATTTTTAATGACTTAAATTCCTTTTAGTATTTCTAAAAAACAAATGAATATTAACATATATGTTTTATGGATATATATAAAAATTGTATGATTTAAAAAGTCTCTGATTTAGCCTTTTTTTTCTGATTGAGAAACTTAGAAATTTAATTTAATTGATTTTGAATTTGAATAGTAATTCATCAGAATAAATTAACAAACCCTAAAGTCTTAGAAATATGAAAAGTATACAAATAAATAAATAGCCAATTAATTTAATTAAATAAATACTTACAATTCAATTTTCTTAATTCTCCTCTGTTTGTACTACATTATTTAGACAGACAGATTTATATTATTAAATTAATTGTTTAGTTATTTTTTTTCATCTTGATCTTAACCAAATTAATTCAATCTTAGATTACTATGGATTAGATAAAATTCTAAATATATGTCCTCCTTATTGTTAGTTAGCAAACAAAATAATTTTAATAAATTTAAAGGATTGATAATAATTAAAGATGAATTAATTTAATTAAAATCTATCTTAGTAAAATAATTATTTTAAATACTAATTCAAATATAGTTTTTCATGAATGAATTGTATTAAATAGGGAAATTAATCTTTCTTTTTTTAAATTAAAAAATGGATGAACTTGCTTTTTGATTTTAGAATTAAAGAAAAAATTTAGAAAAAAAATAGTGGAAGATACCATTTATAAAATATAGATTTAAATTTATGATATTTATTAAAATATAAAATTATTTTTAAAGTTGTTAATTTATTTTTAAAACAAACAAATTCATTTAGACTAAAAGAAAAAATAATTCGATCATAACATTTTAATTGAACCAGCAATATCAAGTAAATTTTGAACGAATTGATTGATTATGCTGCTGTAGTCTTTTGTTAAAAAATCATTTAATTCATTTTAGAAAAAAAATAATGGATGTATGGATGCCATTTATAAAATATAGATTTATATTTATTTACTTAGGTAAAATATAAAATTATTTTAAAAGAAGTTTATGTATTTTTTAAAAACAATCGAATTCATTTAGAGTAAAAGTAAAATAATTCAATCTTAACATTTTATTAACTAGCAATATAAAGTAAATTTTGAATGATTTGATTGATTGTGCTGTTGTAGTCTTTTGTAAAAAATTCACTTAATAAAATATTGTTTTTTCCTTTCTTTGCAACTTTTTTATACAAGATTAATTGTCATCCATTTTAAGACAAATCAATTAATAAATAAATAAATATATTTATCTAAGTACTAAATAAAAATAGATTTTTTTTGGTTGAAGTATGTAAATAAATTAATATTTTTACACAAGATCTTTAATAAAATTCAAATAAACTTAGTGGGTCGGTGAATCTAAAATATTTATATCAGTATTATTTAATTAAATTATACAAAAAGTCTTCAGATCCAATCTATCTTTTTAGATGTGTAAGTATGGACTTATAGATTATAGTCACATCAGAATTTAAAATAGAATAAACATAACAACTCAAAATTCATTTATGATGCAATCAGTATAATTTCTCTAGTTAAAATTATTCAAACAACCATTCTTATTTATATACCCTAAACACGCAAATAAATATACAAACAAACATTCAAAAAAACAAGCAAACATGCTAAAAAATTAATTATTTAAATACCTTTAATTGAATAAAAAAAATGTCAAATCCTTATTATATATGGTATATATTGGTTAATAGATAGTTATACCTAATATAAATATTTACAAATTCGAGAAAGCGCTTTCATTGTCCGTCCTTGGATTTACATTTTAATTAAAATAAAATATAAACTTAAAAATGAAAACAAAATATTTTTTAATTTGATTAATTTTTAGTAAGCATATTGCTTATTTATTTAGTTAATTAGTTAGTTAGCGCACTTTTTTATTGTTTATTTTTTTTTGTTATATGCCATTTTCTTATTTAAAATTATATATGTCATCCATTAAAGGTTATAGATAGACAGCCAGCTGTTATTAATACTTTCCTTTTGTGTGTCTATCTATCTAAGTTTGATTTGATAGTAATATCAATAAAAATTGGTTGAGAGTAATAAATGTACTAATGAATATAAATGTATTAATTTATTTAGTAAATAATATATTTTTATACACAAATGATTTGTGTATCTATGTATAAATGTAAGAATATACATACATAGATACATTGTAGCTTAAATAATTTTTTTTAAAAAACTTGGATATATAAATTGTATAAAATGTAAGTAAGTATATATGTGATTAATTTGATAGTAAAAATTCTTAACTCCACTCTTTGTAGACAATAATTCTTGTATAAATATATTAAGAAGTAAATTGAAATACTATTTTTTAAAGTGAATGAATTTAATTAAAATCAATAAAAAAATATATAAGAATGTTGGGAGTAAATTTAATAAATTTTATTATTAATTTATTGTCTTAAATAATTGATTTAAGGTAAGTCATATATTAAAAAAATAATTGATCATCTTTGATTGATTGAATGAACTAATTTGATTTTAATCATAGATTATTAACAAACAAACAAACAAACTAATTAACTAATTAATTATTTATTTGTCTTTTTAATTAAAACAAATTAGTCTACATTTGAAAATTTATAAGGATATCTTTTAGACTTTTCTCCTTATTTATTTTAAAGTCTACTAATATTGAATTATTTGTGATTTTTCAATTTTTATTGACATTTATCAATCAATATTCCTTTGCTTTCTTTCTATTTAAACTATTTCAAATTTGTAGAAAGCTTTAATGAAACTTTTCAAACAAAAACTTAATTCATAACTAAAAATGATTTCAAAAAATAGCCTTAAATATATTAAAAAGATGGTTTTGAAAATAAATATGTGTTTAGCATTAAAATAAGCAGCATAATATTGACATCACTAAAATTTTCGAAGAATAAACTATTTGTTACTTGCTTATTTACTTACTTGTAAATCAATATATGAAAAAATAGCTTTTATTTTTTTTCGCACTATCTTAAAACTAATTGTTGATTTTGAATGTTTGAATTGAATAAAATCATATTATTCTTGATTTACACAATAATTAACATGAATAATTTTCTTTTTAAATTTTAAATGCTTATAGAGCATTATTAGTAACAAATTTTTTAAATAAAAAAATAAATACATCCATTAATCTATTAAAAAATTTATTGAAAGATGATTTTTTGAAATTCTTCTATTTTAAATAAAAAAAATATATTGGCTAATAACAATCAAACAAGGATTTTCATCTTTTAATTTTTGGATATGTAGTCATTCATTTCCAATTAAAAGTAAAGAAGTATTTATTTTTTAATAATTTTTATTACAAAGGATAAAAAATATGTAGTTAGTTTCCTTATTTAAATTCTTCAAAAATAGCTTTAAAAAATTTAGCTTTTAGATTTTTAAATTATTTTAATCTAAAAAAAGAAAATATTTTCGCTTGTTGATTAGTAAGTAAAATTTTTAGCAAAAAAGCATGATGCTAATAATTTATTTGTTTATTTTAAGATTTTAGGGAAGATAATTGATTGGATTTGTCTATCTATTATCCAAAAAATATTTAACAAATTGCATTCAAAAAAAAAATATTTTTTATTCAAATTTATTTATTTTAAAAAATTATAAAATGATTTACAAAATTATTATGGATATACTTTGTAACACCGCGTATAGAATGTCCTACATTGATTCATTTTCTTTTGATAGCAATCTGAAAAAGTGTAAAAAATTTTGAAATCCCCATCCCGTAAGTGATTAATCAATTATTAGATATAATTAAGTTAAGAAAGTCTTCAAAAATGTTTACTTAAAATTTCAATGAAAATAACTTTCGAGCAAAGCGCTAGAAGGCAAATTCACAAAATTTTAATAGGTCTATAAATTTTTTAATCTAATATTACAAAATTTGAAAATGAATGTTTAGCTTCATAAAGACTTAGTCATTTACATAATGTCATCAGCGCTTAAATAACATTTTGTTGAAATAAACATGAAAATATTCAAATATATACAATTCAAAAATACTCAGAAATATGAATTTAAAGTAAAGAAAATATAATTGAATTTATTTCCGTCTAATAAATTCTTATTCATTGAAATAGACTCACCACTAGAAATTAATAATCAATCAATGAATTAAAAATTCTAGGCTCTTTGAAATAAATTTAGATGTAAGCCTATATTTCACACTAAAACAAGATTTGGATAATTAATTTTTGACAATTTTTTAGGCATGGATATATTATTAAAGATGTAACAAATTAATATCAATTATTTATAAATGAAATTCAAATATTATTACTTAAAACATGTCATTTTATTTACGAAGCAACAGTTTATAAATATTATACATTTATCTCATTAAGTTACTATAATTTTACTTGGAATCTTTGAAAAAAAATGCAATTGTTGGAGTTTTTAAGTATATTTATTAATTGATACAAACATTAAATCATCTATAGACTTTTCTGTAAAAGCATAGGACTTTCAATATATTGATTGATTGACTCACTCACTAATAATCACAAACACTTATATATCAAGGGTGATTACTCTATTTTAACAATTTATAGGTACAAAAGATTCTTTTTTCCATGTTTTTGTTAAAATTTATTTTCAGTCAATTTATTTAATATGGTTCAAGCCAAACACTTACGGATTTGCGGTATAAAAAAATTGCTATTAACATTTTGTGTTTATATAACTTAGTTTAGTTCAAATAAATGAACAATTTTATTTATTATTTTATTTATTTTTAGATATATCATTTAAGAAACATTATTATTTATTTACATTCATATAATTTTGATGATTAAATTAATTTAAATTGTAAATAATAATACATACTCAAATAAATGTATAATTTAAGTATCTTTCATTCTTTTGGCGTATTTATTGATTTTCTAATTATAAATTTTAACAAAAAATGGATTAATAAGATCTACATTTTATCTATCTCTCAGAAACTTTTTTGATCACACTTTAATTAAATTAATATTTTT